CTCCGACGCCGACAGTCGCTGACTCCCTCGTGTCATACTCCGACCAAGTCCTCCTCCTCCTCCTCCTCCTCCTCCGCCTCCTCCTCCTCCTCCTCCTCCTCCCCCTCCTCCTCCTCCTCCTCCTCCTCCTCCTCCTCCTCCTCCTCCTCCTCCTCCTCCTCAATAGGAGCTCGACCACAAGAAACCCTCCACAAGAAACCCAACCCTGAAGCCCCAGAATGTCCATTGATTTCTGGAGTGGGAGCGCCGTGAATTCCATCGCAAAAGCATCGAACCCCCAAAAAAGACCAGTGCAGCCTGGGAGGCAAGCAGGGTGCGTCTTGGCACGTGCTTCCACTGTATAATAATCCGCCACCGTGTCCTCGAGGCACGAGTTAGAGGAGGCAGAGGATGAGGAGGAGAGGAGGAGGAGGCGGAGGAAAAGGAGGAGGAGGAAGAGGAGGAAGAGTGTCCTCAGGTCCCTTGGCCAACCTCCTGGAGGCTCAGTCTTCACTCCCGTGGATTCTTGTAGGGGCCCGGACCCTTAATTTTTGACTTGTCGCGTTGCTCGCGGGGCTCGTCGCATAACTTGTTCGGACGCATAAGGGTAGGGGAGGAGGAAGAGGAGGAGGAGGAGGAACAAAAATAATGGAGGAGGGGAGGAGGAGGAGCAGGAGGAGGAGGAGAGAGGAAGGAGCAAGGACGAAGGATGAAGGATGAAGGATGAAGGAGGAAGGAGGAAGGAGGAAGGAAGAAGGAGGAAGGAGGAAAGGAAGGAAGGAGGAAGGAGGAGGAGGAGGAGGAGGAGGAGCAGGAGGATGAGGAGGAGGAGGAGGAGAGGGGGAGGAGGCAAGCTAGGTGCGCTCGCGCCTCAGCTGACATCCTATCCCTCCCCCAAAGTACCAAGACGGGCAAAGAGTGCCCAAAGAGGCCCCCAAGATGGCCCAAGAGGACCCCGAATCGCGGAACGATCGGCTCCAAGCTGCCCGGGATGGCTCCCGGTCAGCAGAAAAAGCGACCAGGGCCTGTTTCAGGAGGTCTCGAAGAGCCTTCCCGAGCGGGCCCCGAGAGGCCAAACTCACAGATTTTCTGTGGCATTTCACTGTTCTGGGGGTTCTCCACTTTTCGAGCTTCCGACGCTCCAAGACATCCCAAGGGGCCCCTCAGACCGCCCCAAGACGGCCCCAGAGGCCCCCAAGACGGCCCGAGAGGGCCCCAAGACGGCCCCAAGACAACCCCAAGAGAGGCACAAGAGGGGGATCACCAACTGAAAATCCGTCTCTTCTGCCCTAAGAGGCGCCCAGGGGGGCCCAAGAGACCCCCAAGAGGCCCCCAAGAGGCACCCAAGAAGCCCGCCAAAGGCCCCCACGAGGCCCCCAAAAGGTCCAAAAGGGGCCCCAAGAGGCCTTAGAACTGCCGCCAGGAGAACCCCGAGAGGCCTCAACGAGATCCCAACGAGCATCCAAGAGGCCTCAGACCCACAACCCAGGCACGGTGGCGGGATGGGCCGAAGGCCATTAGATTTAGGTCAGGCATGTCCCCCTACAGGGGGATTTTGGACGAAAAATAAAACATATTCCAAAAAATATTCAAAAAATGCTCAAAAATATTGGAAAAATCGTCCCCCGACAATTGTTTCACTATTTTTGCAGATTCCTCCTGTAGAGGGACAGGTCCGACTTGAGATTAGATCGGCCGCCCCCTTGTGGCTTGCCACAGGCGTGCACGGCGTGCCACACGTCTGGCAGGTTGCTCGTTCTTTTCGCAGGAACTCGAACTGGTGTGGACGCCCGGAATGGGCACGGAAAACATCGGCACAATGCCCAACAACACATGTTGGGCAGGCGGCCTTCTGCCTCGAATGGACACAGGCCGCGGCGGCGTGGACAGCGAATCCTCTTCAAAATGAACAGGAACTGCCGTTGGGCATTGTACTCACTCTTTCCGTACCCATTTCGGGCGTCCAGAACTGGGGCTTCGGCCTTCACCCGCCGGCCAACCGGAGGAGCTGCGCCAACTGCCCCCTCCAAGCCCACGATGACCTCCAAGACGTCTCCACGATGCCTCCAGGACGGCCAAGATGACCCCAGATGGCCTCCACGACGGTCCCGAGGCGCCACCAGGACGGCCAAGATGGCCCCAGGACGGCAAAAGATATTCTCCAGACGGCCCGAGAGGCCCCTAAGACACACGAAGTGGGCTCCAAGAGGACCTCTGGGATGCCGAAATCCTTGATTGTCATTCGGTTCGTCGTCGTCTGCCTGCCGCCTGGGCGTTCGTCGTCGTCTGGGCGTCCGTCGTCGTCTGCCTGCTTCTCCCCTCCTCGTCCCCTTCCCCCGGGCAGCACAGCCTGCCTGGGGCCAGCGTGGCGGCATATTCCTCCAAAGGGCATCCTCAAGGTGGTAGGGATCAGTGCTGGAATCCGCCCGATGGTGAGGTCATTCGGTTTCTAATGAGCTTGGCGGTCTCGCCTTTTCGGGCTTCCGACACCGCAAGACGGGCCCATAAGCCCCCAAGATCACCCCACGACGGCCAAGGCCAGCCCCTAAGAGGCCCGCAATGACGGCTCAAGGGGGCCCCAAGACAGCCCAGGAGGCCCCCAAGACGCCCCCAAGACGGCCCCAGAGACCCCCAAGACGGCCCTGAAGTGCCCAAGAGGGACCCTCTCCTTTCTTTCTTGCGCAGGCCGCTGGGCGCTCCTCCCGTGGCGTAAGAAGGGACCCTCTCCTCCCTCTCCTCCTCCTTTCTCTTCCTATCCCAAGTGTTCCCCTAAGGGGGTCCGCAACGGCTGGGGGGAACACATAGTCCAACAGCTTGGCCTGACTTCGGCCCAACGCTTGACCCCATGGGAGTTTCTAAAAAGGAAGGGGCGGCGGTGATTCACCGTCGGCGTGTTCGATCTACCAATAATATCTATGGAAAGCGCAGTCCTTCCCTGCATCTTCACCAGTCCCATCTGATCCCACTTTCCCCTGAGGTGTTCCTCCAGTATGTCCCCTCCTCTCCTATCCCCCCTCTTAGCTACAACGTGATTATACCGTTCCTTCTCACTCCCCTCATCTGTGTCTTCCCTGTCTTGGCGCGGCCCCACTGCTGTACGCAGCAACCTGCGAGAATGTGAGCGCCACGCCAACAAAGAATTGAGGCTATGTACACATCGAGGAACGAAGATATGCATTGCCAGTGGTGCGAAAAAGCGTCGAGGCGAGGTGATAACGGCTGCCCCCCCCCCCCCCCCTGGTGCGCATCGTCTGCGGCATGTCTGGCGCTCGGCGAAACGCTGGCAGGGAGATGACGCCAGTGTTGACTGAGGCGCACCTCTTGGACTGGCTGGCCAAGTGGATCGGCAAGAGCAGGGGAAGCGGAGGTGCTGGGGCTGTGCAGTCCCTGGGAGCGCATACTCTGGGAGTCGGCACCTTCAACGTGCATCGTTCAGATTGGAATATTAATCTAAGTCTACCTTTAGGTCAGGCCTGTCCCCCTACAGAGGAATGTTGGACGAAATATGTTTAAAAAATACGGTTCAACAAATACCCCAAAATTGTCAACAACAAAACAAAAAAATGTTTGAAAGAATCGTACCCTGACTATTGCGTGACTATGTTTGAATACGATACAGTTTTCAGGGGCGTGATGGTTCAGGAGTGTTCGTCTTGGCAGTCGGATGCTGACTTGGCGGGCTGTAATATGTGTACGTAGCACCCCGCAGTTGCGGAGAAGAGTGAGGGGGCGGCGATGACGTCGGCAGTCTGCACGGCTCTGAAGAAGCTCGCGGCAGGCGCCTGACTTGTAAAAAATCTGCAGTGAGCCCGCCGCAGGCGCCGAAATTTCGCTAAAGCGATGTGGGTGGGTCACGGGGTGGGTCGGAGCGTGGGTCGCGAGTGGGTGGCAAAGTGGGTCGCGGGCCGGGTCACAGGTAGGTCGTGGGTGGGTTGCGGTTCGCGGGTTGGGTCGCGGGGTGGGTCGCGGGGTGGGTCGCGGAGTGGGTCGTGGGTGGGTCGTGGATGGGTCGCGGGGTGGGTCGCGGGTGGGTCGCGGGTGGGTCGCAGGGTGGGCCACGGGGTGGGCCGCGGGGTGGATCGCGGGAGGGCGCGGGTTGAGTGGCGGGGGGGTCGCGGGGTGGGTCGCGGAATGGGCTCCGGGGTGGGTCGCAGGTGGGTCGCGGGGTGGGTCGCGGGGTGGGTCGCGGAGTGGGTCGCGGAGCGGGTCGCGGGTGGGACTACGCCAAACAACAACAAGCAACAACAACAACAACAACAACAACAACAACAACAACAACAACAACAACAACCACAACCACAACCACAACCACAACCATAACCACAACCACAACCACAACCACAACCACAACAGCAACAACAGCAGCAGCGGCAACAATAGTAACAACGACAACATTAACAACAACAACAACAACAACAACAACAACAACAACAACAACAATAACAACAACAGCTACATCAAAAACAACAAAAGCAACCAAAACCAACAGCAACAGCAACAACAAGAACAATCCGCATCGCATAATCCCACTCATGTACAGATATACACATATATAATACCTATACATGTATATATACACACTATAGGTCAGACGTGCATGCATGGACACATAGATGCACTGAACTACATGCTGGTTGGCTGCGTGAGGCCAGAGGGCCGCTTATCATCTGCAACACGTTGCATGGCTGGTTCCAGCGTGTCGTTGCTTCTCATCGCCATAGCCCTAGTTCTGGCCCTCGGGTACCAGGCCTGGCGCTCACATTTTGGCGCTCGGACTCCGAGGCGCTACCAACGGCCTTCCATGTTCCAGGAAGATAGGCCGCCACGCAGCCTTCACTTCGTGCCGAAGGGCCGGGCAACACCCTTTTCGCGAGCGGGGAAGCCTCCTGATCTTTAAGTGAATCGCCTCGGCCTCGCTGGTCCAGCCAGGACGGAGATTCCTGACAGATCGTCTGCTCGCTGGCACGCCCCCTCGAGCGCCACGCTTTGCGGTGGAGCTTATCCCCAATCAATGCTTGAAA